GGGGCGGCCTGACCATTTGGAAACCGGGCACTGCCTAGGGCTGGGTCAGTAGGGGGCCCCTTGAGATCCCCTGGTAGCTTTTTCATATTTTTTTTTGAGTTTGGGCAAGGACACAGGGGCCCCATGATTCCCTATTGCCCAGGGGCCCATGAGTTGTCAGTCCGCCCCTGTCAGAGCCCTACCGTTTGGCCCCAAACAGCGTGGCAGAGGGTGGGAGGTAGAGGGGGTCTGGGGGAGGCAGATTATGTCTTTTTTCTTCTGAATGTTGGGGTAAGCCGCATGCTGCCTGCCTGGATCGTTATGCATTGCCTTGGTCCAGGTGTGCTGGTCCACCCGTACCATTAAAACTTACGATGCTGTTCCCATGCATATGGTAAAAACCAGGGGGCCTAAAAAGGCACACTGGTTGAGATCACTGTACTAGCCCACCGAGCTACCGGGGTTTGTCTTTCACCCACCTCCCAGCGGTAAAAAGTGCTACTTTCTATTTTGCATTTTTTTTTCTTCATATGCTGAAGCTTGAAAACAGATTACACTAACACATTTTCTCATGTCTTCTTCCACATTTTTGAACAGACAAATATTTTGTTCACCACACCATACTGTAAGTCCCTCATGTACACGGAATGTTTTTACAGCGGCTGTTTTTGGCTTTTGATGTTTTTTCTACAGCTAGTAAAACCCCCCAGCATGTTATCCTATGAGTCCATGCACACATAGACTGTAATCAATGTTTTTTGGCAGGGGCAATTTTTTGGATGGAAAAAAAAAAACCCAGGACTAGTGGGTTTCTGAAGGAGTTTTTTTAGCTGTAAAAAACGTTCTAACGCTGCAAAATGCGGGTAAAACAGCCGCAAACCGGGCGTTTTTGGACTTTTTTTACCAAAAAAAAAAAAATTTTTTGTGAAAAAAAATGCTAAAAAACCGAAAATGGGGAAAAACGCAGCAAAACGCTAATCCAAAAATGCTAAAAAAAAGCTGAAAAAAACTATTTTTTTAACGTGACTTTACAAAAGCTAACGTTACCAGCGTTACCCAAAACATCCAGTGTGCATGGAGCCAAATTTTGCAGGCCACACATGGGTCAAATTCCAAAACAATTTTTCGTCCAAAAAATTTAAAACGTTGTTCACTCAGTGAACTGATGGTGCTATCAATGATTTCGAAAATCGGCCGACCAAGTCATAAAGTTCACCCCTTATATAACATGCAAAACTGCTGTTCCTTCCAGGTCACGGTTCATGCGCGTATTCTTTTCTTTTAAAAAACTATTGTACAATTTGACCATCATTGAGTCGAAAATCGATCGATTTTCAAAATTTCCAAACATGCCCAATCACCGAAAAGGGGAGGAACCACAAAAATCGGCCAGTGCTATTGACCCACTCACAGAGGAAAATCTTTCCAATTATTCTTGGGTTTCTGATTTTCGGACAAAAAATCAGTCGAATTCCAACCCCATGGTACAGCCGGCATTAGTGTTTTTGTTTTTGTGAATTTATTTATTTTTATGCCAAGTGTCTAACATCTACATTGCAGCGTTCAAGTATTTATCCTTTGCAATATCTAACAAAATCCGTCACCTGGCATCTGTGTAGTGTAAAATCTTTTTTTTTTTCATTGTCCTTCATCAAAATGGAACATCGGCAGTTTCTTTCTTTTTTCTTTTTTTTTATGATCACTCAATAAATAAAAATTAAACACATTTGTTTTGGGATGTCCTAGGGCGGCTGTCACTGTACACATCCAAAGATAAAATAGGATACCGTCCAAGAGAATGACCTCACGTTCTTTGCAGCCTGCAGAATAAATTCAAACTTAAAATGAGACGCTTTGTAAAGGGACAAAAAATTAAAAAAAGCGAATTTCTATTTTTATTTCCGACTGCACAGTAGGATATCTGAATAAAACTTTCCATAAGGAAAAATACAAGCTTTTGCTAATTTCAATTCATGCATGGATTGAAAGTGAATAAAAAATATAGTTTCCACTTGTGGTAATGAATCTTTCCAAATGCTACAACTACTGGAATACCTGATCAGGCGCCAAGTTTTCCAAGAGAAATCTTACTTGGCTTTGATATATAATAGAACAACACTTTTTAAATGATGTGTTTTTCAGCATATACAGGGGTCCCCATACTGTCCCTTATGGGTGCTGGGCTGTAGAAGTCTGGTGAAGAAGGAATAGGGAAGAAATGCAACTGGACCTGCAGAAAAGAAGAGCTGGTTCTCAGACAAAACTTTCTAAGTACGGGATAAACTCTTCTATGCGGCATGTTCCAGCTGTTTCTTCTATCGTATTCCTACAGCATGCAGGATCCTTTATGCGTCTGGAGCAGATGAGTGCTGCATGTAGGCAGCCTATGTCAGTTGCACATCCAAGTTTCTCAGCCCTGCAGGGACAGGTTTGTGGTCTAGACCAGGGCTTGAAATTTCCACTCACCTGCTCGCCAATGGCGAGTTAGAAATTATGGTGGGGGCAAGTGTGTCCCCCAGGGCCGTTTTGCTGAGCAGGCTCTGAGCTCAGGCCGGATCTGTCATTGGCACTGGGGGCCGTCAGACTGCTCAATAGCTGAGCACAGTGAAAGCAAGGAGTGTTGTGCTGTGCTCTCTGCCCCCCTAGAGTGCAGTACCCAGATCTGTGAGTGAACAAACGAAGTATTGCAACTTTTTTATGGGTGTGTGTGTACGTGTACATGTGTGTGTCTGTGTATGCATGTACAATTGTACATGTGTCTGTGTGGGATGTACATGTGTGTATCTGTACATGTGTCTGCGTGTATGTACGTGTGTGTGTACATGTGTCTGTGTGTGTGTACATGTGTCTGTGTGCATGTACATGTGTGTGTTTGTGTGTATGTACAATCATGTGTCTGTGTGTACGTGTCTGTTTATGTATGTACATGTGTCTGTGTGTATGTAAATGTGTCTGTGCGTCTGTAATTCTGTGTATGTACATGTATCTGTGTGTATGCCTGTCTGTACGTGCCTGTGTGTGTTATGCATGTGTCTGTATGTGTGTGTGTGCACGTGGGCTCTGTGCATGTGTGTATATGTTTTTGTGTGTGTATGTGTGTGTATGTTACATGTCTGTGTTGTGTGTACAGGTGTCTTGTTGTGTGTGTTTTTGTTTGGGGGCGAGTAACCTCTAAGGCCTGGCTGGTACCTCAGGACTTTAAAATTTTAAGCCCTGGTGTAGACCATGTGTGTTTTGGGATTTGGTGCGCCCATTTTCTACATGCCTTTTTAAAACCCAGATAGGTGGTTTAGTCCCCCTTGCCCTCCAGAGGATTTACCCCCCCTTCCTGCCAGGCCATTTTTTTTGCGATACAGCGCTGTGTAACTTTAACTGACAATTGCGCCCGGTCATGCAACACTGCACCATATTAAATTTTTTCCTTTTTTTCCCCACAAATGGAGCTTTCTTTTGGTGTTTTTTTGATGCCTGTGTTTTTTTTTTTTTTTTTTTTTAGTATGACAAAAATAGACCTAAAATTTTTGAACAAAACCCAGTATTTTTTACTTTTTGCTATAAAAAAATATCCAATAAAAAATTTACATAAACTAAATGTCGTCATAAATTTAGACCAAAAATGTATTTTGCCCATGTCTTTGCTAAAAGAAAAATCCAATATGTGTAAATTTAATTGGTTTACTTGAAAGTTTTAGCGTCTACAAATGGCAGTTACAGTTTGCCAAAAATTTTTCAACCCCACTGAAATTGAGTGTTTTTGGCCCGTTTGCATTGCTTTTGATCATTCAGTCTCTTGCTTAATTTACTTTAAAAAACACTTGTAGGTCAGACAAATATAACATAACAGTTTTAAAGAAAATAACCCCAAAAATGTCTTTTCTGTGCTCACAGCATTATCAGTTTTTTTTCAACCCCCAAGTGACTTCAATCTTGTACTTAGTACACATCCTTTTACAGTTATAACAGCTTTTAAACGTGAAGCATAGCTTGCACAAGGTCTTGCAGCGATCTAGGGTATCTTCGCCCCTTCTTCATGGGCAAAGGGCCTCCAGTTCAGTCACATTCTTAGGTTTGGGCCACTGCAAACTGCTTTCTTTAAAGTCCCCCCAGAGGTTCTCAATGGGTTTTTAAAGTCTGGTGCTGCGATGGCCACTCCAAAATTTCCACCTTTCCTCTGCAACCATGCTCTAGTGACTTGGGGTAGCTTGGGATCATTGCCCTGTTAAAAGGGTCCAACGTCTCCCAAGCCTCGGTTTGTGTGGGGACTGCATCAGTTTCCTTTCCAATATCTCCTGGTACGAAGAGAATTTTTGGTACCTTGACCGCTAAAGCTTCCCTGTACCTGCAGAAGCAAAACACCCCAAAGCTGATTGCCCTCCCCCCAGCTTCACAGTAGGAAAGGTGTTTTTTCATCATGGCCTTGTTCTTCCCCCTCCAAAAAAGCGTTGATCCATGGGCCCCAAACAGTTCTAATTTTGTTTCATCAGTTCAACAGAACATATCCCACAACTTTTTGGTTGGTTTGTCCACATGGCTTTTTGGAGTCTGCAGTCGATCTTCTTATTCTTTGGTGACAAGCAAGGGGGTTACGCTGGGAGTTCTGGCAACGTAGGCCTTCATTACGCAGTGTGCGTCTTTTTGTTGGGCGGAAAACTTCTGTACCCACTTCAGACTAATCTTTTTTTTTCAGTTCCTCAGCAGTCACACGGGGACTTATCTCCACTCTACGCTCAGGTAGCGCACAGCAGTCGGAAGTCAGCATTTCTTTCTGCCACGACCAGGTAGCGTTTCACAGTTGCCCTTTGCCGTGAAAATTTTGCGAATGGATGGCTTCCTAAGGTTTGTCTCTTTGGTATGTTTAACATCTTTGGCAATCTTCTTATATATCGCATTGCCTTCCTGTGAAGAGGGATATCACCTCTTCTCTTGTTCTTCCTTGACTATTCTCTTGCCATTTCACCATGTTTGTAACCACACCAGTAAAGTCTAGAAGGAGGCTGAGTATCACAAGGTCATTTTAAAGCTGCCTAAATTGGTGCTTATTTATGCGTTGATTGATTGCTCGGTGTGACATCCACAGGTGTTTTTCAATTCATGAAGGAGAAATGCACCAGTATGAACCTCTGTTCTTTCAGAGGTGGTTTGTTCTTTAAGGGGGGGAGAAGGGGGGGGCGGGGGCGGTTGAATATTTGTGGCAATGAAGAAACCACATAAAGAACCATTTACTACTGTATTTATCATAAAACAATTGATGTCATTTTAGTTGCATTTGGGTAGTTACAAGTCGTCCTTGAGGATTTGATTCTGAATTACAATTCCAAATGTAACACTATAGTCCCCAAAAAACCCTTTTCAGATTGGGGGTTGAAAATTTTGGTCACAATGTAGAACTGGAAAATTTTTTTCTTAAACAGTAATGGGGGGCAATCAGGACTTATAGCGGGACGCGGGGGGATTCTGCAATGGGGGGAACTGAATAACTGCCACTGCCACTAATACAGGATCGTGTAATAAAAAACAAACATGTACTAAGCACTGGGGAGGAATGGGGTAA